CGCCCCGGGGGCGTTTGCCGGGTAGTGTCGAAATGCGGAAGGTTTTTTTAATAAACGTGAAAGCCGAAAGTGTCTGAATCACCCTCAAAGCGGGGTGGCCGCAGTGCCAGCCTGGTCCCTAACAGCCACCGCCTCCTTGGCCCGAGCTGCGTCCCCCACCTCACGCTCCTGGGTTCCCCGGGGCTCCATACTTGTTCCCTGAACACTTCCCACCTCCGCACCCTTCTCCGTTAACAGCCCTCGGCTGCCCAAGGAGGAGCTGGGGGACCCCATGCTCAGGTCCTGGTACCCCCCTGTGCCCCTGCCGGGAGCTCCAGGCCCGGGACACGTGGACGTACCGGAGCGAGGCCACCGAGGGCCACAGCACCTGCCACGGGAGAGCCACAACTGTTTGGGCAGCGCCCAGGATCCCGGAATGGAGAACCTGGCAACACGTCAACAGCTGGGCGAGGGAGGAAGCCAGGCTGCTTGCTGGGGTATCCAGGGAAACGTTGGAATACTTGGAATTACACTTAAATATAAACACCTCGTCCTCCCTTTTTTCTTTCCCGTCAAGGGAGGGTTGTCAAACAGTGGAACAGGCTCCTTGGAGGTCTCTGGAGTCCCCACTGTCGGAGATATTTGAAACCCAACTGGACAAGACCCTGAGCACCCTGCTCCAGAGGACCCTGCCTGGAGAGCGGCCTTGGACTAGACAGTCCCCAATGGTCCCTTCCAACCTCAGCTTTGGTGACCTGCACCTGAAGAGGACTTACAGTGTCACCCAAGTGCATCAACATCTACTCGTGACTCCCTGGGTTAAGCACAAGATGCCCAACCCCAAGAGGAGAACATACACTGGTGGATCTGTAGACACGGATGATCACTAGGGTAGAAAAATCAATTTAATTTCATGGTTCAGTTATGTAAAGCAAAAAATGTTGTACAATTCAATCAGTACTTACTGTAGTTTTTTTAATCACAGCAAAATAAATGGTTAACATGCAAAGAAGTAATTTACAACTTAAATTCCGATTAACAGCAATGAGCTCCACGGTTTCGTTTCCAGTAATACTGAATTATTAGTGGACTGTTCAGAAAAATCAAAGACTTTCTGATACTGTGACTCTTGCCAAAGCATAACAGCCTATAATGCAATTCATTTTAAGACAGTGTCTTGATTAAACATTCCTGTTTACTAATAACTTGTTTACAACTCCTCTTCCTATTCTAGCACTGTGCAAAGAACTGGCTCAGTGATGTAACTTGGAGCTTTTTCCTATCATCCAGGTCTCTCACTACATCTCGTTCCTTGTGTACCTCTCTCTGTCACATCCGTAGGCCCAGAGCATCTGCACAGTGCAGGGATGCCCAGTACCAAGCACCCAGAGCAAGCACCAATCCCACGGGTACTGCTTATTAAGGGGGTTTTTAGCTGAAATCTGAGGTGGGACCTTCTCAGCTTGGCACCTCCCAGCTCATTGTGCGTTGCCCATTCAGACTTGCCCGTAACACTGGTAACATACTTGGAGGTTATTACTATGGCAACTACCTTCCTTTTCAGCAAGACAAAATTATTTACTGTTTTACCTACAGGTGAGTAATTTGCCTAATAAAACATTCACAAGGTCTTAAAGCAGCCCGTGTTATCCAGACACCAGAATGCGACTTCTGCAAGAGGTGCAGACCGACTTGGTATCTACCCAACCTAGACTATGGCCATGAACAAGCCTCTCTCCTCCTGCTTTGCTAACTATTAGGAGGACTTGGAAATCCATCTTACCTGCCTTACAGGGATTCTCAGGATTTGTTTGCAAAAACGTCCACTTTACTGGCTTGACACAAGATGGCATATGAACTAGATACACGTTAGTGACAAATGCACCAGCAGGTCATTCTCGAGTACTTAATCACTACAATGATCTTTTCTGAAAAGAAAAAGAAATTCTGTTACCCAGGCTTTCACCTGAATGATTAAGATTTCTTTCTCCCTAAACACAGAGAGCGCAGAACCGGTCATAATTAGGTTCATATTAATCATTAACAGCATAACAAAACCCAGTGACAAGATTTTTAGGAACTCATTAACAAGGGCACACCATACACAATTTTATTCAAACATGGCAACTTATACAATAGCTAAAAGTTTTTGTTTTCAAGAAAACCTGTGTACCTGGATATCAGAATTAGCACCTAGCGTTTGTAAAGAAAATAAAGACTTTGCAGTATATTTACCACAAGCACGGGTCAGATTTAAACAGTCTGGGAGCAGGTCTATGTGGACATACTAAATCTAATTTCCTGTCATCGCCTGATTAATTCATTGCTTCACCTCATTTGGTAACCAAGTATTTCCAAAACACTAGCAGTGCATAGTTCATGAGGCTAAATATATTTGACAAAAAGGGACAAATCACAGTTTTGGTCTGAAATTATTGCAGTACAAATTTAAATATCAGTGTTTTTAAAGCAGTGGAACATAGTAGAGAGGTAGGTGCTTTCCTCCTGATGATAAGAACTTAACATTGCTTTAGAGTTGTTTCAGCTAAGTAGTTTTAGATGATGTTAGATGTCACAGGTGTATAAACAAGACATGGCACACTAGATTAACTGGAAGAGATTTAAAATGATACATAAAATGTTTCACTGGCATAAAAACAGTTCTATTGCAAGAGGTTACTTTTTGCAGAGTGAGCTATTGCTCGCAGTTTCAAACACACTATATACTGATGTCAAGTTTTAGTGACATAGAACAGGATTTACCTTGATGCTCAATACTTGGCAAGGTAACTTCCTTTGCTAAAGACTACTGAAGATCAAGACAGTGACATTTTCAGGATATTCAAATACACTTTCCTGTTTGGAGCAATGGCCCACGCTCCCACTAAAAAGCAGCCTCTAATTGTATGAGCTTATTATCTACCAAGATTGTCCCCAAAAAGCCACCAGGACCTAGCCCACCAGTGGACAAAAAAAGCCATTTTTTTTACCCAACTCTCGCACTGCTCCTCTCCCTCCACGTCTTGTTCCAAGCCTGGCTTAGCATTCTCTTCAAAAGAAGCAATATGAGCACTTTCATGCAGCACTGAAGGTTATTAGGTGGACAGACAAAGCAAAGAGAATGTTTATATGAAGAAATATCATATTTTAGGTAACACTTCCTTTTTATAAGGATTAAATTTGAAGACAACTGAAGTGAAGTTTTCAAACCATTACACGAATATCCTCTCTGACTGCAATTCATCATTTATACCACATAGCTTATTGAAACAGTAACAGTGTGCTTGCCTTTATACTGCAAAAGGATTCAACTGAAAGGTGCTATAATGAACACTTTCCCATAATATTTTCACTAACACACAAGATGTCATGCACAGTTGAGACATTAGATTTTAAATCTATTTACAATTTTACATATTTTACAATATATATTTCATTTTTACAGCTACAGAATAAATTCCGACTACCACTGGTACCTTTCGAGTTTCTGCCAGAACTCGAAATTTTCTTACGTTAAACTAATTATTAAAAATGTAAGTGCATGCTTAGAAGGAAGCTTTCAGGAAAAAGATGTCAATGGACTAGTGTTGCTTAAAAATTACACTGGTTTGTGTAGAAAATTTAAGTTCAGTTCAAAAACCCACAAAAGCCTAATATAAATCTACTTTGACTAAAATAAATACAATTTATTACACTTAACCAAAAAAAAGTACCTTTAAAAATGTACTGATTTAAACTCATTTGATTTTTACCCTTGAATTTACTTCCCTTTCCAAGTAGCAGAGAGTACTAGGTGAGGGTAAAGATGCCTTTCCAGGTTAACACTGATAATTATCCTGCATAAACTTGAGGCTGCAGTGGTGGAGGCAGCTTGTCATTCTCCACATTTTCAGAGTCAATAGCTGCTAAGGCTTGACTTTTTGGTTTTATTTCTAATGGATATTTCTCAACAATATCTTGGACTTCCTTTGTAATTCCATCAGTCCAATCTATCAGGTCTTTCTCAAGCTTTTTGGCTTCACTGACAATTCTTTCTTGTCTCTCATTCAACTGAGATAGCAGATCTAAGTTTTTATACATTTGCTTAACACCCAGGCACGTATCAGGCGACCAGCTGTCAGATTCTTGCTTCTTCGGGGACGTCTGACCCGACATATAACGATCAAAATCCTCTTGGCTCAGATTTAAAGACTGAGCATCCAGCTTTTCAATGAAGGCCACAGCACAGCACTACGAACAGAACAGAGAGCAAGTATCACCACATGCTGTAAATTGGAACTTGTGTTCTACTTCTTTTTATCTTGCAGTTGAACCAGTAACATATTTTATTTATCACCTCAAAACATTTCTAAAGACCTTCTCAGGTAGCCAGCTACAGCAGACAGTTCACATCTCTCTCCCCTCCACAAAGTTCAAAGTGGTCAAAAACTCAGAGCATGAAATAATTGCACTGTTGCACCTGAACACAGGCTGACTGGACAACTTGGATTACAAACCTTGGGGCTACTGTATTTTGGAGATGAGTGACCAGAAAGAACAAGACATGATGACTAAACCATATTTATAGTTAATAATCTGATCAGCCGAGATCTGCTTTGCTTTCTGCTCGTGCTTCTGTAGGAACGAATGCAGAGATGCCCATCTTACCTTGGGGATGCTCTTGTCCTATCAAAAGGAATATTTAATATTTCAAATATTCAATTTCAGCTAAAAAATGTTTTAAGATGAGCTGCAGAGGGGCCAAGTTCATAATTCTTTTCAACAGACAAGCACACAAATAAGTGCTTACTACAGAAGCTTTAAAAAGCCTATTTACTTTTATACATTAATGGCCTAGTTCTGCAGTCCCTTCATAGGATAAACTCCTGTGGGCTTAAATGGTGAACTTTGCATGCACAAACATCTGCACTGCCCAAGCCCAGGATTTAGCAATACCAAGTACTCATCTCCTACAGAATAAAAATGTGCTCAAGTTTTAGCATCAGACTGTTCAATAAAGGGCTCCATACTGTAAAGAAGGCAAAGCAGACGTTCTGTTTTGAAAAGCAGAGGTGGAAGAATGAAAAGACATAAAGCAAGAGAGCTTGCTGTACCCTAGGTGACCTGGGCCACTATTTCAAGAGCAACTTTAATCTTCCTTCTATAATTTTATGATGTATTTTCCTGTAGCAAGAATCCTTCCCCATTCAAACAGAAGGTGATCTCATATAAAGCATCAATACTATTCCCACACTTACCAGATTAGTAAAATAGTAGCCATCTTCTCCTGTCATTAACCTGCTTGGATTACAGAAGCGTGTTATATACTGGATGTTGGACTGCAGGCGGGGTGGGTTTCCCTTCAAAACAATGTATATAAGTGTTGGAAGGAAATCATCAGCAGAAGCAGGTTCATTTTTTGTGATTTTAATAGCATTAAATATGTGCTTGCTGCACTTGGTGATGCATGCTAATTTCTCACGAGGGACACGCTTCGAATCCATTTCAATAATATCTACAAGATAAAAAGGTCTTCAGATAATTAAAATCACACTAATCATGCACTTAAATGAGTAGGATATTTACTAAACAATGCTGAAGCTGCACTAGTTCTCCACACTACTTGATATTCTATGAAAATATTCAACCTATTTATTTGACCCTTCGTTACTACAGCCCAAACATCTTAAATAGATGATGTCAGTCTGAACACTTTTGTTGTAAGAAAACTATTCTTGCTTCATAGATTAACTAGCCCAACAATACACAGACTACTGCAAATCCAGAAGTCTAGACCCCTTTTCTCATTACAGCAGAAAATAGTTATCAATTAACAAGAGTTATGAAATTTAAAGTTCTAAACTTTTTAACGCCAAACAAACAAAAAACCCTATAACAGAATGACAAAAAACTTTTGAGTTCACAAACCTGTAATTGCTTTTACAACCATATCAGAGACTTCTGGAATTTCTTCATTAACAGGAACACACAACATTTGTGGAGTGACCCAGTGCAAAGCCCTAAAACAAAGGATGGAGGGAGAAGTTAAAACATTCAGTGCCAGTAACATTCAGGTGTTTGAAACCAGTTGCTTCTTGAACTAAAAAAATGCATGAGGACTATTTTACTTGAACAAAGCACTAATCCAATTATGAATCAACTTATTCCACTGAGTTATTCCATTCCCCACTTCAATTAAACATTCATTTTTTGCTATAATTTAGCAAAAACACACAGATGAATTTTTCTATTATACTAGCTTTCATTATTCATTCTGTTCATTCATTTCCTTTCTTAAATAAAAAATATTTAAGAACTTTTTAGCTAAAATGCTTGCTATCCTTGTCCATATAGTATGAGGTTTTTAGCATGTCTGCTTCAGAGACCACTGAAAGCACCGTGGACTACTCAGTTAATTTTGTTTTAAACACTTACCTGATTCTCTTTTGGACAGCCAGATCCTTCTTCTCATCATCGGTTGTTTCAGGACAAAAGACATATTTATACTGTCGAGTCATAATGTACCTTTCGATCTGATCCATGGCTTTCTCAACTTTTTCTGGGGGCACTGAAAGGTACAAATTCCACAACGCAATAAGAGTAGCCCCACAAGCACAATATAGTGTCTCCAATATAGAAAATAAAAATTGCAGATTGTTTGGAAGATTCCATACTCTGAGTTGTATTAACAATTCAGTAGCTCTAATTACAGCACTGAAAGCTGTTAATAGCATTTCTTAAGAGATTTTTTAGGAAGCATTTTGTTTTTACTGGGAGATGTGGCTTTATCCTCAAAATTTTTCAGCAGTAAGATAGGAAGAGGAGGAACACAATACCTTTCCAACGTGTCTGTAATTTCTCTGCTACATTTTGGTAAAAGTCTTGGGCACATTCAGATTGTTCCTCAATACTTAAATCCTGCAACATAAAATTGACAAGTTTGCATGTATGGAAGAAATGATAATGATGCCTCTAACATTCCTTTATGGAGAGTGTCCATATATGTGCAGCAATAGTCTGAGAATGCAAAAAAAAAAAAACCTCAGAAGTGTTTACACTGGCTAAATTATATTCAAAATATGAGAAATTAAGACATACTAGCTCCTTAAGATATGAGATTTATATTTATTTGCTGAATTAGAGTGAAATCGGATAGATCCAATTTCCTTTTCACAAACACATCTCCTACTGATGATATAAAAATAGTGTAGTCTATTTAACTAGAATGTTTGCTTGCAATTTTGCCACTAACTTTTTAAGATGATATGCACTATATCAAAAACCAAGAATTGAAATTATTAATTTGAAATAATATCTATACAGTAAATGTTTCAAAGAGAACATTACTGTGAAATATACCCACAATGCTATTTGTGAAATAACATTGCCTTTTAGGCATTAACTAATTGACCTACTTAAGAACATAGAGGCTCACAGAGTTAATATGAATTTTGCTGAATTTCCGTTGGCCAAAAACAAGACAGTCCCTCTGAACATAAAGTCCTGATAGCAGTGCTGCATTTTGGACTTGGTTAATTTGTAGTAGCAAATTAAGTCTTGAGAAGGACGTCTCTTTGATTAAGGTAGACAAAAACACCTTTAGTGGTTATAACCAATACAGCTCCACAATCATCACAAATTCCATGTTCAAAGTGAATTGACTCTAAAAAAGTACTTCAAGATGTTTTCAAAGCAGAGGGCACATATGGTTATAGGAGAGCATCCTTTACTTTCCAGTTAAATTTGAGGATCCCCTTTGAGTAACTACAAGGAAAACAGGAAAGCAGTAAACAGAAGAGGATCTGAGTACAGAATCCTGTCGGATCCCTGCAGGTGGCACTGCAGTCACATTAATATTTCAAGGACAACACAGTTTTTATGGAGAGAATGAAGAAACGTCTTTTTTTGAGGAGAAGGAAGAAGCAGGGGGGAAATGCACTTACCCTTTTATGATTCATTGTGTCCAAAAATAATTTACATTGTTTATAGATATCCTGTCCGGGTTTATGATATGTCTTGAGAAATTCTATGAATTCCTTGGATACTCGATCTGTCTCGATGCTGGCCTGCCTGTTTATAGAAGGGCTGGGAGCCTTGGTTTCCTGGATCTCTGCTGGGAAAAATTTGACATAGTAGATTAACTTTTGTACACCAACGTATGCATTCAGAAAGTGTTTCACATGTACTAAAAGTTCAGATTTTTTTTCCAGCTTCACAGACAAATAAGCATTCTATTTGTCTGAAGAACGTGTTAAACGTGAAATGGTGAATATTAAATACAATATAAATATTTATTTCCTAAATATAGGAAACTGAATATTCCAGAGTGAAACATTTAGAGCCTAACACGCACTTACAGTAATGGCCTTTTGATGCTAGCAAATCACCATAACAGGGGTTTGCTTTCAAGTTTCTTGCATTTTCACTCTCATGTAAGACCCCTCCATAGGAGATAAAGGCTTCGAGCTGTGATTCCACCGCAGCTTCAACTAAGGGAGTGGTCCCACTCCCCTTCTCCCTCACCTTCACATTCCTG